TGTGTGTGTGTGTGTGTGTGTGTGTGTGTGTGTGTGTGTGTGTGTGTTGGAAGACTGAGGTCATTTGTTTGTCCTGGCCACCCAGAACCAAAATACTCACACAGAAACTATATTAATTAAAACACTGCTTGGCCCATTAGTTCTAGCTTCTTATTGGCTAACTCTTATATTAATTTAACACATTTATTAATTTGTATATTGCCGTGAGGTCGTGGCCTACCAGCAAAATTCCAGCATGTCTCTATCTGGCACCAGTTCAATGGTGTCTCTCTCTTTCCTCCTTCCTTCTCCCATCATTTAGACCAGTTTTCCCCACCTACTAAGTTCTGCCCTATTACCAGGCCAAGGCAATTTCTTTATTCATTAACCAATAAAAGCAACACATAGACAGAAGGACTTCCAATACCATTTCCCTTTTTCTGTTTACACAAAAAGGAAAGCATTAACATAGTAAAATTACATAAACAAAACAGTTATCAAGCAAGAAATACAGTTACATTATTTATGTATATATTTTCTTTTATCATAATTAAGCAGAAGTATATCTACTCTTTAACTTCATCAAAGACTCTAGAAGGATAAAATATTACCTAAGTAAACAGGCAGTGCATTGCAAGAAACTTTCAAAACTAGAGAATTGACAGAGATATCTCGCAACCTGTACAGTCACCCAAAGTTCTTTTGTACCATTGGGGCATCAATCTTCAGTCTACAAGCCCATAGTATCCAGCAGACATTTTCATTGATGCAGGACATTTTAAAGACAGTTCCACCTATAAAGGCAGTTTGTCAGTAACTTTTTTCTGTGTCCTACAGAATATCTAGCAGATTTTTTTCATGGAGCAGGAACCCCAAAGGATTTTCTCACCTTTAGGCAAGTTCAGCAGTCATTTCTCTGTGGGTCCTGCATGCCCAGTTCAGCAGTCCAGGCAGGAGCAGTTTCTTGCCCAAATGGATAGAAAATTCCATAAGAAACCTCTTGAATGCCCATCATCCTCTTGAAGTAGCTGGTGCTGCCAGGAGCAGATGTGTCTCACTGTCATGAAAATCTTAAGTTCTCATTCATTTTAAATGCTATATTCTGAAGGTCTCTGAAAAATTTGAATACCTAGCTAACAGAAATATATCTCTATCCATCTAGAAAATCTAACTTACATGATTTCAAGTTTGACTATAAGAGATGAGTATCTAGTAACCTATATTTCTTAATTATACACTATATTTTTAAATGAGCTACACAAACACAATACCTTAATCAAGGCCAGAAATACATATACATATAACAAAATTGACATTAAATTTGTATCAATAAACCAAGATCCATACCAATGCAAATTATTCATCTCTATAGCATATCCCACTTTAAATGTAAACAAACAATTATAAACAATATTTGGGAATATGGGTGTAGTTCTGTCCATACTGCTTATAGCTGTTTCGGGGTCCTGTTAATCAGGTCTTTCAATAGTGTATCCTGTGTGCTAGGTTCATCTCAGTTTGCAGTTGGGGGAAGTAATTTTTTGAGGGTGTTCACAGCAGCCTTTCAGAGGCTCATGCTATATCAAACCATACTTGTCTGGAAGTGATCCACAGGTTCTCATCATCAGTGATAACAGTAAAAAGCTCTTTTCCTAAACAACATATCCTTAGACTCAACTTTTGGAATCAAGATACCTTTATGTTGGTTTAACTTAGCAGCCCATTCAATGAAATATCTCTCTGTATTTAGCTTCTTCACAGTCAAAATATTCAAAGAAAACACAATAATATACATAATCCATACTCTCTGTGGATTTTCTGTTTTATGTGGCTATATTTTTCACTCCTTTTAATCTATGTCTATCTGTACTCTGTCTTTTTAAAGACTTTTCCCTTTTTTTAAAGCATTAATTTTATTTTATGAATCTCTATACTATTTTTCTTCTCTCTTCCAAGCCTACATACATTTATACAACACTATGACTTATCTGGATTTGTCTTTATGTATTTGTAATTATTTTCTGACCAGAAGTGCTTCTGAAAATGCTAAGTGCTTATGAATATAAGCTGTGACATTACTAAGCTACATTGGGTATTTCCTGCTTGCTGTACCCATTTCAAGTTGTGCACTACTCGCTGCTTACAGCAGGCACACCCACCGCCCCACTTCCATGCACATAGTCAGTGCACACTGCCACCAAGCAAGCCATAGCACGCTTCTCACAAACCACATACAAATACTTGATCTCCTGAAAGAGCCATAGGTCATGCTGCAGCAGGTCCCAGAAAGACTGTATTTCAAAATGGCATGGCTTTTTTTCTTTTGCTACTACTGAATCAGGAAATCCTCTCTAAAAGGAGCCCTGCCTCTTCTTACTTCTATCAAACAGAGCCCACCCAAGAAAATGCTGCAACCAAACTATGCTTAACTCTGTTCTTTTGTGTCTAGAATTTCTTTTTATGCTTTCTCAGGTTTTGCATGGAAGAAGTAACCGAAGTTGGCGCCAATATGTTGGAGGAGTGAGGCTGCTTGTTCATCCCAGTCTCCCAGAACAAAAATAACCACACAGAAACTATATTAATTAAAACACTGCTTGGTCCATTAGGTCTAGGTTCTTATTGGCAAACTCTTATATTAATTTAACCCATTTCTATTAACCTGTATATTGTCACGAGATCGTGGCCTACCAGCAAAGTTTCTGCATATCTATCTTCTTCAGCAATTCCATTGCCTCTCTCTCTGTCTTCCTTCTCCCAGCATTCATTCAAGTTTTCCCTGCCTACCTAAGTTCTGCCCTATCAACAGGCTAAGGTATTTATTTATTCATTCACCAATAAAAGCAACAGATAGACAGAAGGACCTCGCAGACTCTGTGTGTGTGTGTGTGTGTGTGTGTGTGTGTGTGTGTGTGTGTGTGT